CAAGATTGTTTTTCTGAAGGTTTTGGGGTTTTTCCCATTAAAAAAAAAAAAAAATCTCCCCATTTGTAACTACGAACATTCCTCAACAGTCCTCACCTCACTCCGCCAAAAATCACATGAGGTCTTTCTGAAAAACTAAGTTCTGTGCAATGAAGTTATTAACTGCTGGGAAAGACAGAAAAATCTTTTTTACAGCTGTTCATTGATGCACTGAACGTCACCTTACACTTATAGCCCTTCTGGATTCTGCAGACTTCTGGAATAGGCTAGGAAAAAACAAAAATCTTGGCCAGAGCAGTTACACTGCTTCTTGAGACATGGGTTGTTTTTTTTTTTTTTTGGTTCAGGCCTCAGATTCTCTGCCAGCAATTTCTATTCCTGGTGGAAATTAAAAAAACCAAAACAAAATGCCAAAAAAAACCAAAACAAAAAAACACACAAAACCCCCAAAAACAAACAAACAAAAAAAACCCCTCACAAACCACCACCAAAACAAAACAAAAACCACCCACAGAACATACTAGGTTCGTCTGCTTTTTAGGAATCCAGAGAACAAATATGAGTTCCTAAGGCACTTGCAGGGATGTGAATTGACCCCAAAGGCCCAGCATCCTTCCATGGAAGATCACAGTCATCCTGGCAAAAGCCAGCAGTGCCTGGCTCCGGACCAGAGAGCTCCCAGACACACAGTGCTGGGAAGTGGGAGAGGAGCAGCCTGGCCATGCCAGCTCCCATTTGGCACCCTGTGAGCCACATCACTGTGCACACTCCAGTCGTGCTCCCACAGAAGGGGACAGCCTGGTCACCTGATGCTGAAGTCCCCATCACTGATGCTTGAGCCTGTCCATGCAACAGCTTTAATGACTCTCAGAAACCTTTCACACAGGGTCCATGGCTTGTGCTGCTCACTTCAGTTTCAGACAGGTGCACAAACCCCTTGGTTTAACCAATTGGCTGTCATCCTGCAGTGAATAAGGCCAGAACTAATTTTCTGTGTTCAATTTATGTGTCAACATTTTTATTCTAAAACTGTACAGGGCTGCTTGGGTACCAGCAGGTGCATTTCATCAGTACATAAAGCATACCCAACCAGTCCTGTTCTCATCCCTGCTCCTGCAGGAGTACACCACTCTTCACACCCAGCCTGCTGCTTGGCTTCTTTTCCTCTTTCCCTTTTAAATGGCACAGACAGCCGATGAAAAGCCAGGCGCTCACCTTGACCCAGACCTGAATCTCCACCAGACTTTCTCAGCAGGAACAACCAGGTTTGAAATGAGAGGAAATGCTTGGCAGGTGCTCCCAGAGGACTGGCCAAAAATAACTGCACTCTCTAGTTAATGTCCATCTGAATACTACTAACATTTCTCCTTTAGGAGTGTGGCTGAAGTATTTGATTTACACAAGGTGAGGATTTGCTTGCAGTTGCCCGGCAGATCAGACACACAACAGGGAACAGTCAAACACATTTTAATCACCTATGTAAGGTGCCCGTGCTCTCCATACAGACAAAGGATCTTTTAGGGTGTGATTAACTGTAATTAGGAACCTACCTCCCACCTTTGATTATAGCAGTAGTCTAGACAGCTAGTGTTGGCAGAGAACTGACAGACTTAAAATTACCTCGTACAAATATTCCCCAGTGCATCGGTTATGCAAGGAAACAGAGGAGGCTCTCTGGGAAGAGGGTTATACCGACACTTGGCAGGCAGTGAGGAGCAGGTAAGGCTGTTTACAGGGAGCTCTACTCAGCCGTGACTTCCACCGGGCAGCTCCCGAAGCCCCGAGCCGCTCCGTGCCGCTCAGCTGCTGGCGCCGAGGGGAAAAGTCTGCTGGATGTCAGCCCTGCTGCAGGAGCAGAGCCAGCAGCGTGGCCAGCCGCCAGCCCATTGCTCAGGAAAACCTGCAGAAAACCTGCTGAAAACCCACTGCAAACCCGCTGCAAACCCACTCCTTCCTTCGGCACGGGGCTGCAGCTGTGGCTCCGGAGCCCGGCAACATCCTCCAGTCTGTGGCCGCGGGCTGCTGGGTGGAGCAGGCTGACGGCTGCTTGTAGCTCTCAACTCCTACTACTGCTTGCCTTTTTTTTTTTTTTTTTTTTTTTTTTTTTTTTTTTTTTAAAGGAGCCACTCAGATCGTAACTTTCATCCAGACTTTAGAAAACAAGGCATTTAGAAAATTTGGCCAAATGCATTCCAGCTTCATTAACGAATTTAAAAGCTGCCCCCACATCAGCAAAATTTTTACTTGAAAAATAATTGTTGTATTTGAAAATACTGCCATAAAACAATACTTCAGGCAAGAGATAGACTAAGGTCAAAACGTAGTTAAGCCCCTGAAATTACTCGCTTTAAATTGCGTATTTTCATTTTCCATCTCAGATAACTGTGTGGCAAGGCTGTGCATTGCTACATGACAGCTCCTTCTGCCTTTGAAACAGCAGCACTTCAGTAGTAGCTAAATTGATGCCTTTTGTGGGTCCATCACTTCCCGAGGTAATTGATTAGTGCCTGTGAGGGGCTCTGAGAACTAACAGATTACGTGTTCTGAGCCAGGTAAATTATTTTAATAGATTTAGGAAGAAAAAGATTCAGAATTTTGTGTGATCCAGTATTACTTTTCCCAATCAGCATTTCCCCTTCCTATATATTTACTAAGTTAGAAAACAAGTGTGCTAAGCCCAAGGAGCAAGAAGAGTTGAGCATGACACCTGTTAAAATATAGTAGAAAGCGAGTATATTTTTTCCACTGAGAGTTTCTCTGATGACTGTTCATTCCGCTATTTAAAGATTACAGCTTTATTCTAGCTCAAGAGAAGAAAATGGAAAGGTCAGAGCTCCGCCGAGCTCGGAGCGATGCGCCGGGCAGACGGCACGGCAGCCCCAAACAACACGCCGTGTTCGAGGCTCCAGCCTCGCAGCACATCCTCTGTGCTGCAATTTGGAACCATTTAAGCTCAGCTGCCTTAAACACAGCCCGAACCAAGAATAGCCCGGCTCCCGGGCACAGGTCAGGCGGTGCTGAGTCACTCGCTGGCCCGAGCCCAGGTTTTCCAGCTGCCTTGGGCTCGGCCTCCTTAAAGACACAACTTGTGGCTGCCGCACACAGCCCTGGCTCCAGCTGGGCACGGCCAGCCAGGGATGGCACGCTTGGACGCCGGGGTTTAGCCAGATGCATGATTCCAATATGAATTCCTGGTTCGTACCGCCCTGTTTCCCTCCAGCTTCGGAGCGCAGCGCTGCTGCTGCCTTCCTGCCCATTCAAAGCTACATTCATACATCTCTTTGTAATTATGAATCAACTCCCAGGCATCGGTGCTCACGCAGAACGGCAAACAATATACTGTCACGGGTTGCATCAGCTGCACGATGCTCTCTCATGCCTTCAGGCTTGCTAAAGCTGATCCAACGCTAATATAATAATAGCCTTTTTACCCGCCTCCTCCCCCAACAATTACCGGAGGCTTGGAAGGCCATTGAAATGCAAATAGCACACGGAGAGGTTATTGGGAACCAGGCTGGGAAGACACAAATGATGTCCTGCTAGTTTCCTTTAGTTTGACACGAACGGGACCGTAGTCCTGAATTTCTCCCTGTTTAAACAGGGAGAGAGGCAATATCGTGGATGTACGGACGGCCAAGTGTAGAAGCTGAAGTGCATCTTTTCCAGCACGGCTTCTCTTATCTGGGACCCCTGTTACTCCCCTGCAGTAGCAAAGAACTGCACGGCACAGAAGTGTCTGTAGCTCCGGTAATACGAGCGTGCCCAACTACACAAACTCACAGAAACGCGTGCAGTGTGGGTTTGAAAGATCTTGCCCTCACGGTCAATGCACTGTGGAGCCTGCAGTTTGCTCTGTGGCCACAGATGGAAGTCAGAAATACAACATCCCTCTCCCTGTTATCCCACCGTACCCTTCAGCCCAGGTGCTTCTGCAGAGGACAGGACCCCCTCCCTCCTTCCCACCCCTACTATACTTTCAGGTACTGTTTCCACCAAGAACAAAAAAGTGCTTTCTGGACCCAAGGCAGTCCTGACACTCGGCTGGAGCAGCCATGAAGAGCAGTGTGTATCAGCTGCTGTGATGTGACATGGGACTACGATGACCCTGACACTTCTTCAGCCTCTCAGTCCCCTGTAAAGCTTCAGGAATACCTCCTAAAAATAGGCTACATCTTCACCCCCTTTTCTGTAGCAAAACAACTTATAAATATCACAAAGAAGATGTTTACCCTGTTATTAACAAATTCCTACCCCCGTTCCAAAGAGCCATAGAGAAGAGGGTCCAGCACCCGGTGCACAAGGGGTGACTTTGCTTTGGCGAGAAGGCAGCTGAGGGAAATCTAAGTGCAGTGTGTGTACAGCTACTCAGGCACGGTTAGCGACACCACAGAGCCAGCACAGCTGTGGCTGCTGGCTAATGGCTCAGTGGGAGGGGCAGACTGAACTCAGGAGAATCTTCTTGCCAAGGCAGTGAGACAGCAGGGCCATTGGCCACCACTGGGGAGGCAGGGGAGCTTTCAGGCCTGGACGTTTTCAGACGTGGCTGCGGCCGATGTAACCTGTGGTTACATGTCCATGGGTCCCGCTCCGATGGGGCCTTTGGGCTGGAGACCTCCAGAGGTCGCTTCCAGCCAACAATTCCATAGCTCCGTAACCTCCACGTTAAATACTTGGCAGTAAAGGGTGAAACTGCAGCAGCTCCCTCCCCCGTACTCGCGTACTTTCCCTGGAGCAGGGCACAGCGCCCAGCCGCACCACCGCCGCTGCCAGCACCGGGCGGCCTCCCAGCGGGAGCCGCGGGCCCTGCCCGGGCCACACGGGCTCCCAGCGTGGGGTGACGGACGGTGGGGCCCGGCAGCCGCAGCCCCGACCCCTCCCTCGTTCCCGTCGGGAACAGCAGATTCCCGCTCGGGGCAGCAGATGCGGAGCTGACGCCGGCAGAAGGATGCGCGCCGGGGACACGTTTTGGGCGAGAGGAAAAGGCCGGCAGGTGCGGTGCCGGGGCTCGGCCGTCCTCCGGGGGCCGCGGGGCTCCTCGCAGACGCCCCCGGGCTGCGCGGGGCCGGGGCGGGGGCGCGGCCCGGCGCGGAGGGCGGAGCGCCCGCCCCTGACGGCCGCGTCCCGCCCCGGCGGAGACGGAGCGAGCCCGCGGCAGATGCAGCCGTGCCGCGCCATGGCCGGCCGCCGCCTCCTGGGGCTGCTGCTGGCCTTCGCCGCGCTGCTGGGCGCAGGTAGGGCGGCCCGGGCCGGGCCCGGGGAGAGGGGCCTGTGGGAGAGGGGCCCGGGGTGCACTGTGCCGTGCCGTGCCGTGCCGTGCCGTGCTGTGCGCATGATCGCGGCGCCGGGCTCGGCCCAGGAACGGCGGACCCCCGCCCCCGGCCGGGCCCCCGCGGGATGCTCCCCCCGCGGGATGCAGGCGTGGTTGCCCACTCGCCCTGGGGGCTTCTCGGGCTGGACAGTGTCCCGGTGGCACGGAGCCTGCCCCGGGGGGCTCACGGGGCCGGGGAGATGCGCCCCGAGGAGGGGCCGCGGCGGGGAGGGCGCGCCCCGGGGATCGCCCCGGGGAGGGGGCTGCGCCCTCCGGCCGCGCCCTGCGCAGACACCCCGACTCCGCAGCGGATGGCGGGGTGCCAGCCTGTGCACCAGGCCCGGGCCGCAGACCATCCTTGTCCCCCCTCCGCCTCCCGACCCGCGCCCCGGGCTCTGCCCGCCTCCGTCCCCCTCTCCCGGCTCCCCCGCTGCCCACGGGGCCGGTCCCGCGGCGGTACCCACGGGCAGGGCGGCTCCAGCCCGCCTTAGGTGACAGTGCTGTGACGGGCGCATCTCGGAGCGCAGCGTCTGCCTTCCGGTGACAGTGTTACTGCGGGGCTTGAGAAGCGCGATGCTGCAGGTATAAAGCTCTGGAGCAGCCTGGGGCTCAGTTAATCCTAGACAGAGGTAGCCATGGGGTCTCCACGATAGGAGTTTCGGTTTGTCTCTCTGCTCGCTGAGCTGTTGGATTAGCAGATTCTCGGTGTGACCCAAATTTGTCGGGCTGATGGTTGTATTCTCACTCTTTTTTTGTCCCAGTGTTATTTCTGCAGATCAGAACAGTCTAACCCAGAAATCGTTCCCAGATGAGCAGTAACTAGGAAGGAAAAAAAAAATATCCTGGTTTTAGAAGGGTGGGGAGGAAGACATTAAGACCAATGCAAGTTTACCACAACTCTTTGTCTCCTTAAAAAAAAAAAACCCAACAGTACTTTTAAAAAGCTGTGTGTTTGAATTGCAAAGAAACGTCCTTCTAAAGGTTATACAGAGAAAATAGACAAGAATTACGTAAAAAGCCTCAGGAAAGTTTTTCGAAACAAAATCTGCTATTAGTAGGAGGCATCTGGCAAGCACAGACCGGTTAGAAGATACCAGCATCAAAGCAGATAGGGAACTGAAACCCAGGCAGATCTTGCTGTTGGAATTTGGTTTTCCATGAGTCAGCCTGGAATTTGTTTGTTTGCATTTGGCACCTACCTGTTTGTGTTACACCTGGAATGGTAACAGCGTGGTACAGAGGTGCTTATGCTGACCAGGTTAGAGGCTGCATTTTTAATTAATGGGTATCAGTTTGACAGGCTGAGCTCAGATGGTGCATAAAATCTTGATTTTAGGTTAAAAAAAATCTGATTAGTCAGTACTAAAGCTGTTTGTATTTTGTGTTTTTCACAGTGTGGGTAAACAAAAATGCTGTTCTGTTTCATTTTGGAGCTCTTGGGCTGCAGAGTCCAGCTCTTAAATATCCTTGGCTGTGTTTGAATCAAAATGAATTTCACTGAAACATTCATAAATCATTCCTGCCAGCGTGAGGCTTCACAGGTAATTGAACAGCATTAAGTTTGTCTCCTCTCCGACCGGCTTTGAATTGCCTCTCCGTGGCACTCACAGCGCTGCTCTTGCCTGCGCTCCGTGCAGAGCCGTGCGGACACGGGACACGCGGGACACGCGGGACACACAGGACACGCGGGACACACCAACCGAGGTGCTGCTGTGCGGCCTCTCCGCGTGGTCTCCGCTTCCTCCCCGCTGTGTTCCGGCTCTCCCGTGGGTGGCTGCCTGCTGCTCCCTGCCCTCCTCTCCCAAATGTGTTGGAGCAGCTTTGCAGCGCCCTGAGAGAGCCTTGGGAGCCCTTCCCCACCGGAGCACTGAACTGGCCTTTTGGGTACCAGCACAACCTCCCTGCCATCACCCTGTCCCCACGGGAAAAGAGCAGGTGGTGGCAAGGCAGTGGGTTTTCAAGGCAGGGCATTCTGTGACATTTCTTCAGAACAGCAGCAACAGAAATCACACTTCTTCATTGCCTCTATTCCCTGGTGTTTTGGGGTTTTTTTCCCTTCTTGTTCCGAAGCAGTTACTCCAGTAGTGCTGAAGACAGGCTGTGGACAGCCCAGTCTCTTGGAAGCTCAGAGATTTACAAATTACCAAGAACTAAGAATAACAAACAACAAAAGCAGTACCTTGCGTGATTCCTGCAACTGTGGTCCAGCTCCACTACTGACACAAGACTGATGTGTGTGTTGTCTGTGACTGTCCAGTAAAGCAGGAGCAAACTTCACTTTTAAATTGGAAAAAAGGGCTTTGGGTTTTTCTTTGATCAAATTCTAGTGCATTTCCCTTCATTAATGGCTGCGTGCTTCAGTGCCCTATCTGGGCTGTCAGATACAGCTGTGCCACATCTGTCTGTGCCTCCAAGCTGCCTCTGCCCACAGCCCATCTGCCTGTGGCTGCAGTGCTGGAAACAGGCATTGCTTGTAGGGCCCCAAGTTTGGTCAGTGCTATAAACTGCCCTATTCCCAGTATGCTGGGGGGCAGAGGCATTAAAGTGTTTTGAGACGGTGGAGAAAACCAAACACCCTGCAAAGCCTATTGGCTGCAGCCAGGGGCAAGCATTCCATATGCCAGCACGTTGCATGGTGCTTTAAATTCACAGATCTGTGACTTTTCCAGAATGTAGCTATGTTTCATGTTTGTGAGTCATCCAGGGTTAGCCACATGCTTATGGAAAACAGTAAGAGTCGAGCAAGAAACTCGCAGTGTCATAAGCCAGCACAGAAATGCATTGATGGTTTTCTTTGAAAGCTGGCAAAGCTGACATCCAAGGGCTTTTTGGAGGGAGCACAAGGTTTCCTCTCGCAGGCCAGGCAGAAGGGGCACGAGCAGTTTTTGTGCTTTACGTTTTGTAAGAAAAGGGTGAAGAAAAGCTTCACTCGCAAACGGCGATGAGAGCAGCTGGGTGAGTCCTCCAGAGCTGCCATGGCAGCACTGCCCAGCTGTGTTGTCACCCGTGGCTTCATAGACAGCATCTCCCCGATCTCCTCTCCTCTGGAGCGTGGCTGCCAGCCCCCAGCAGCAGTTGCAGCAGTCCCCTCAGTGTGGGGACAACACTGCCCAGCACAGCCACTCTGTGTGACTGTGCACCGATGCTGCGGTCACTGCGGGCGCCTCCCCTGCACTGGCTCCACACCACAGTGCCCAACGGAGAAAGCAGAGAGAGCCGTCTCTTTTCCAGATGTTTTTAGGGTGTCTGGCCTCTGTTCTGCACTGGGCAGCTGTGGATGCAGCTGGCAGAAAAGGGGGTGCCAGTGCCAAGTGACCCTGTGTCTCTGTCCCATCACTTGCCAGGATCACTCACCATGGATGTTCCAGAAGAGTTGCAGGAAGGAATTATTTGGAGTAGAAGAGAAAGTCTGGGTTTGGCATTGTTGTCGAAACTAAAGGAGATAGCAGCATTGTATAAAGCTGCTAAAAATCTTTGTTATAATACATTATTGTGTTATTAAAGTTATAATTACCAGGTATCAGTGGCGAGTCAAAGTAATACATTTAAAGAATAATTTTTACATAGATAATGTCTTTAGTGTGTATGAGAAAGCAGGATATGCCAAATTGGTTTTCTTACAAATTATCTCTGATCTTTGAACACATATGCATTAATTAAATGTGCCATGCTCAGATATTTATGTACATAGTTGTGGAAATAATTAATTTGCATGGTTCTACTTAGAATTTTTTTCTTCTACCAGCCTAGTGATAAACATGCTTGGAAATGGCAGTTTAACTCTTGAGTTTTTTCCCCCTCTACAAAAATGTGATTTTTTTCCTTACATCTGTTGCAAACATTTCAGCCCTTAAAGCACATAAAACAGAAGTGTCTATTGATCTCCTGAGCTGACTAGAATAAACTTTTAAAACTACTTTGTTTAAATCTGAATTTGTTTTCTTCTTGGAAGAATATCCTCTGGAGGTTTAAGGCATTAACTTTATGATTAACTAAAGTAAAAATGGGGTTTTATTAGACATTGCTTCTGAAGCCACTCTAATAACAAAACATATGCTTGATAAACTGCGTAACACTGATGGCAAAGAGAAAAGCTTTGCAATAATTCCTTTGCAAGTTGATTGATACAATTCACAATCAGTGGAAGTGCTCAAATAGAGGAAAGTGGAAGAAGATGAACGTGGCACATCAAAATGTAGAACATGAAAAGACTTTGAAAGGGAAACTTCAAAGTTGGGGATCCAGATGCTGGAGTAACTAGCTGTGATTTAGGATGTGATCACGGGAACGTGACTGCTGAGGGAACAACGCTTTTGAGAAGAAAACAGAGTCCTGATACAAGCCCAGTAGCCATGGCAAAGAGAGAGGTGAGTGCTGCCTCTGCACTCACAGGGATTTCAGTGAAGCTGCTCAGGGTCAGCTTTGGGTTTGATCTGTGAGCTCAGCCTGCTGGTGTGATGGAGGTGAAGTTAATGCTAATACATATTTATGAAACTGCCTTGTAGTCGTTCCAAAATCCTTTTCCTTTGCTTTTCAACCTTGTCTAGAAAACCCAGAAACTTATGGTGGAGAAGAACTGGGGCCACAAGCAGAAAGATGATGCTGAGTGTTAGCTTTGTTTCCCAACCACATGAGCAGCATCTCCAGGGAAGGAGATGGCCAGGTTGCTGTAGGGATGTGGTGTGGTCACCATGTACATGTGTAAAAAAACCAAAGCAAGCAAAACCAGAAGCATTGGCAAGATTTTGGAGATGGTGGCTCAGACAGGGAGAAGGGACGCTGAGAACAGCATCATTCTGCTGTTGCAAGGTTCTGCAGGCTGGTACAGGGTTGTCTCCAGCAAACAAAGTGCTGGGGAAAGAAGGCTGCTCAGAATTTTGCTTGTCCTTTGAAATGCTCTCTTTGCCCATGCACAAAGAAGTC